GAAGAAAAACTTGTATTAAAGTTTTTCTTAATTACCCATTCAAGCCGTCTCCAGCCATTATTAGTCTCAAAGTTGGTTCCTCGTCATCGAAATTACCATTTTGTTTGATATTCTAGCGTTATTTTTATCATGAATATGAAGCCTATTGGTTCTCTGCTTGGTCACATGCTTCTGACGTTTAACACTGTATCATTAAATATTCCGTACTATAATAAAGTAATAGTTTCGATGGATTTTTAACTTTCATCATGGTTCAGCCAAGGAGACGAGTTCTGATAATAAAGAAAAAGAAAAACCTCCTAGATGGTAAATTCTAGCAGACAAAAGATAGATCGGAATGCTATTTTCACATATAGTAGATTTGAAATCCTTGGTGGCCAATTAAGAATAATGTGATTAAAACATCAGCAGTTTAGTGTGCTTTTTTTTTTATCACGAGCATAAGGCCTATTGACTCCATTGCACCGCTAGCTTTTAGCTTTTAACAACGCAACGTGTTGTAAAGATCCAACTGTCTTTGCATGCTGTAACCACGTTATGTTGTGGCAGTGACGCCATGTAAAACACCCTACTTTTGATTTTAATTATGGTGTAACCATCTTTAAGAATAGTTCATACAAATGGATTGAACTCTGTAGGCTTCCTAGTACTATTTATTTTTCAGTTATTTATATTTGATATCACCCACTTTTTTTACCGGCTCTTTTGCAACCACATGAAAACGTGGTTTATGAAGTGGTATGCTTTAAACATAATTTAAAAAATCAAATATATGTTGTTGTTTTTACCACGTTGATATTTTGCATACAGATTTCTATTGAAGTAGTTTATTAAGCGAGACGACCTCTTTTTTTAGTTAATGCTTTTCTCGATTTTATTTATCCCTCATCATAAAAGGGGGTTAGTTTCCAAGATCGACTTATTTATTCAAACAAGTATTCCATATATAACAATACCAAATATAGTGTATTGCATAAATGTGAGTTCAGTAATACTAAATTATGAACCAGTGGACTTAAAAATTGTAATAAAAATCACGTAAACAGTAGATGTTTTTTTCTACATTCTTCGTAATTTGTCGATTTCGGATTCAAATTTAGAAAAGTGCAAAAATATCGTTTGAGATAGATCTATCTTTTATCTTCCACATGTCACTCCCCAAGAGAACACTCGATCAATACCAGAACTCGTTAGTTGGATGATATATAAATAGTGTTGCATAGAAAGTTTTTGTCTCTCAGTTATCTAGCTCAACTAATGATGCACTGGTAATTAATCTTGGGCAGTGATTTGTGGGAGACAGATGACAGATCTGACATGCTTTTTCTACGCGCCTTTGATTTTAAAATCGAAATAGACAAATTAAGAGCAAATTCTTGTCGGGCTTTTGGCGTTTGAACTGGAAATAATAAATTCTTCTTTTTTTAACAGTTTTAACTATAATTGTTATTGTAATATTTAAGAAAATTGCAGTTTTTATGTGCGTTTTTACCACTACTTCTCCCCCTGTTGATGGATCTTCACGAAATTTGGTATCGAGGTTTATTGGGT